GACGGTGCACGCGGATGTAGACCAGATTGCAAATCGGTAGCATTAGAGTCTGATTAAGCTTGTGTCACAGTGCCACTTTCTTCCCCTACATCCATAACTACCAACATAGCAGAATTATTAGAAGACTCCAAGGATGCAATGGAGACAACAAAGTGAAAAAGCAAAAAGAGTAAATGTTATTTAGTACTACATGTGTTGCAACCATTAGTGTCTTGTACAAACACTACTAACTTATCCATGCCACAACTTTCATTTTTCTTCTCTCTATCAACAATGTCAACAAAATAAATAAGATTTAAAACCCGCCAAACCACGTGAAATCTTGGCCTTGAAACTATTAGTTTTAGTTCTCGTAATCTAGTTAACTTTTTTATTTACAATTTTATCTAGGTAAGGGGATATAATGCAAAGTAATTCCATTTATAAAATTATATATATTGTTGTTGCCTTCTCAATTTATTATTACAACTTGGATTTGTGTCGACTTTGATATCTTGTCGACTTATTGTTGAATTCTTGTTGCTCTGTAGACTTACTATTTGCAACATAATTTGAACTCGGGCCAGCCTAAATTCCTAGATCAATCAAACACCATATATTCAAGAGGAACGACAAAATATACATATAATTGCTGCATAAACAAAACCAAGTTCCATTATTACATTATTTGCAGTAGATGCACAAGTATAACCCATAAGAGCTGGGAACCTAAAAAACAGGACCATAGGATCCTCTCAAAAACCAGGACTAGGCAGTTAAAAAAACAGCCTTAAAGAGGCTGCTCTGGCCAAATCCATGTCTCAGACACCCAAACTCCTGAATCACCCAAGGCATCTACTGAATACGACCCGAAATACCCTAGTTTACAGAGGACGGAGATCAACATATCATAATTTCTGCATATTAAAAGGGTTAACTCATACACTTGATCTTACCTCGATCTCTTCAAAGAACTTTGAACTCCAAGTCTCAAACTCCAACAAACGGACAGCTTGGGGAGCCAACCTCAACGAGGCCCTACACAACACAACCATCAG